CCCCCAAACCCTTGGTATATCACCACATTACTGGAGGAAGCTTCAGGCAGAGATGAAGAAGACGGTATCACCAACCGTCCAATAAGGATCCAAAACAACTGCAGCCAAATACGCCTGAAATCTTCATCCTTTATCCCCACCCATTGTTCTTTTCAATACCTTCCGGTCAACCCGAACTTGGTACAATACAAACTTTACAACATATACAAAGAAAGTTTAAGAAACAAATGTCACTCCTCCACTTTTTAACCTCACCACTCAGAAACAATGCCACTCCTCCGCTTTCAATGTTGCCGCCTCCAAGAACCATTCTCGGAGGTAGGAAGCGGACTTCACGCACGAGAAGTGAAGAAGATATTCTACCAGCAAGGCGTTTTGAAGTTCGTAGATGTTCCTCACGCATGTGCCTGCTTTCTTCGCATGAAACGGCAACCGCAGAGGTGCACAAGCCGTTAAAACTCGCTCAATCTCTGAAAAGGGTTCCCTGGTGCTTCGTAACCTCCTTAGGAGTTGTTAATAACCTCCTTACAGTCCTTAATAACCTTGCAAACAGCTGTGCAATTCTCCCCTCCAATCGATCGATCTGCACCTGAGTAATCAGCACATGTTCATTGTTCAGGTATATGCCGTCACACTGCTTCTACGTGATCAGCAATTGAACACTGACCAGTCTCAGCCGTGTGGGGCATTCATGCCACCAGTCTCAGGCTGCACTACGTAGGCCAGCCGGAATCTTCAACTCTCCTCTCCGAAATCAGTCGATCCCTAACCAGCGCCAAGAAACACCCTTCCTTCTCTCAGAACGATTGTCAACGTACATCTCTGATAGAGTCCAGAGGAGATTCTTTACAGGAGTGTTCGGCGTTATATGCATCCTCGCCGAATCTTCACAGAACGCAGGCAGGCAATTATCCCTACCAAATTTTCGTCGCATGCCACACCACTCCTCTCCCATGTAGTAAAGACAACATCTTCAATTCACCCCTGTCCTCACCCAACTGTTGGGGTTGTTCTCCCCACTTCTCCTCCTCCTCACAGACTCCACCGGCCCAGCAAGCGTTTTGGTAACCTTTGTATCGGCATCCCTTCGCGCTTGCCATCACTCAGCAATATCGTGCCAGCTCCAAATCCCAGCATTCAAGCGCGAAAAATTACGACGCAAAACACTCCAGACGTCCGTGGAGGAACGCATGCGAACACCGGTCCGCTCTAAGACCCTACTACTTGACGTCTTCAGCATGTTAACTGGAGATAAGCAGCTCAAGGAATTCTCTCTCTTCCTCTGCCCTCACCATCGCCTTAACCTTTCGCGTCCGTGAGCTAGTTGGTTTGTCAACAAGGATGGTTGAGCCCTCCGACAAGCGCATTCCTTCCACCGTCTCCCCAACATCATCCAGAGGTATGGGTACAGGACTATCAGCATGCTTGATGAAAAGCTGCTGGTTTGATGGCTTGATATTGAACATGCGCTGACATAAGAGCTTCATCTTCGCGACGGTTGTTGATCCAGGTAACTTCTTTGTGGTCGCGGGCTTCTCACCTGCTGACTTTGTTGAGGCTGCAACACAAACAAAAGTAACGGCGAACATGTTGCTGCTAATTGCCGAGCTTTGGGGAGGTTTTGGCGAAACAGGAACGTCAACCACGACCCTGTGCAGTTCCTTCAGCTCAAAGAACCTTGGATGCTTCTTTGCAATCTCATCGTCCGACTCGCTTGGCAACCGTTGCGACATGACAAGCCGAAGGTACCTTGCCTCTGCGTTCCTCCGTTCTTTAGGATGGATCAGACTTCCATTCAGCTCCGTGATACCGCCAATCCTTGCAACAACCAGAAAACGTGGTTCGCCCCCATCTACCGGAGTTTCCATGACAGGATTTCCTGTCAGCCGTAGATCCTCAAGGCTCTGCAGGTGATTCAGCTCGTCGATTGATGCCCAGTCCAGGATTTCATTGCCTCCAAGCCACAGGAACTTGAGCTTTGCAAATGGTCTGCTTTGCCCATCCGCATCGATATGTTCGATCGACTTGATACGGTTCCCCGTCAAACACAGCGTCTCCAGATTTGGCAGTCTTGACAGGCGCATCACCTCCAGCCAGTCGTCGATCTGGTTACCTTCGAGGCTCACGACACGAAGTGAGTTAAATCCAGCGACGAAGTTTCTCTTCTGCATCTTCACATCCTCCTCTGATTCATGGTGGCCTCTCAGACACAACACCTCGTTCTCGTCCAACTGAAGCTCTTCTACGTTCGGTATCATCCGTTCGATAACTTCCACGTTTTGCCATGACAAGCCGCACTTGTTTAACGAGAGTTTCTTGATGTGGCAGAGCAGTGGCAGCTGATCCACTGACATCGAGAGATCGTTCACGTTCAGCCGATTGCTGCTAAGGTCCAGGAGAGTCAGATGCGCAAGTTCATCGTGAATTTGGCCGATGGCCTTCCAATCTGACAACAGGTTACCAGCAAGATAGAGTTCTTCTATACAGCCAGCGGTAGCACCAACCTCGCCCTTCGGCCCCGCAGAGCTAATCCCAGCATTCTGCAGCACTGCTATCCGCAGCTTGTGCAGCCGGTCCTGGTAGTACTTCTCAGCCTTCTCCTTTCCGACGAGTAGGACTGGAAGTCGGCGCTGATGGACAGAAATAACATGCATATCGTCATCGTTTGGTCCTTTGTTACCTTCAGAAGATTTATCATTTGCTGCGGCGCAATACTTCTCCTTCAGTGCATCCACAAGAGAGATTCCTGAGTCTATCTTGTGTGACCGCACGAAGGATGCGCTACCAACCTGTCGCGCTTGGAAATAACAGTGACCTCTTACTGTGCCATCATGCTTCCCTCGGGAGGGATCATCCCATTCCACTCCCACCCATTCCCCTTCAAAACCCACAACCGCACCCACATACCTCACGGTCCCCAAATGTTTGTCTTTCTCATTCGTCCTTACTCTCTGCCCAACAGAAAACCCCTCTGACACACACATTGTCTGCCTCAGTACTCAGTGAAATTCAGAGTCGCCTGGGATGACGCACATCCCAATGCGTGTGAGCTACAGTCTTGTAGACGTTCGACCAAGTCTCAAGCATGAAGTTATTGGTTCATTTCTGGAAGTCCCCAAACTTTCCTCATGCGCCCACGTAGCTCAGGCGGTAGAGCATTCCCTTGGTAAGAGAAAGGCCTCCGGTTTCAGTTCGGTTGTAGGCTACGTCTTAACACGTGTTCGATAACACCATGCACGCACCACAAGTCAATGCTCCTCAGTCAGGGACAGGCACCACAAGACAGGTTTCCAAAACCTTCGAGCAACGCTGTGCCGTACAGCAACCTTACTCTCTGCTGATAAACAACAGCCAGTGGTAGATGCTGGCAGTGATTCCTTGAAGCCTCCTGAACTGCTCATCGGCGCCCGTTCAACACTGTTTCTGCGCGTGGGCCGTCACACATGTGGTGGGCAAGGTAAGGCAGTACAAAACCATTTGTCTGTCATTTCTTTGAGCATTTATTCTTATACCCCTTCCATCTTCCAATTCCTTATAGCATCAATATTCGTAGAAACTAGTTTTCCGAGAGTCCGTAGGTCTCAATTTTCCACTAAAAGGTGAACAGACACAAAAACATCAATCCAGACGCGGGGGGCACCATCATCCTTTAACTTCCCAAACAGTTCACAAAACCCTGTTACCCTTCATGATGAAACCAAAGACCCCTGCAATTCAGGATGTGCAGTATAGGGCCATCACAAAACCCTGTTACCTCATGATGAAACCAAAGACCCCTGCAATTCAGGAGGTGCAGTATAGGGCCATCGTACAAATGCTCTTCATGCCTGTGGCCCTATACTGCACATCCTGAATTGCAAGCACAGAAAGTTCAGAAAACAAAGAACTCAAGCCACCTAATCTGCCCACAGGTTTAAAGAAACCCATCAGAGTTCACAATTTGCTACAAATGCTCTTCACGCCCGCGCTTGAAATCCCAAATTGCAGGGGGACATACGCTAAAGACCTCCCTCCAGGCACCTACTCTACAAACTGTTTGCAGATGCGTAGGCTTCGCCTCCGTTCAGGTCTACAGCATTTTTCAAGCCAACAGCCTCTCCTTGCTGTGCTTGCAATTTTACACCGGCCAACAGGTTTCATCCTTCAGGTTATCAACCATTCAAGCCACCCAGCTCGTCTCTCGCTTTGCGAGTAGTGCACCCTCTACGCGCTCATTAGCGAACGGCCAAATCAAAACCCTGGTGAGTGTCATGCGGTCAAACGGCTCCCCCTTATGACATGGAAGGGCAGGCAAACAAAACTCCACAAAGAGAAAAGTTAAGTCCCACTTAGGGATGCGCAACAGACCTGCTCACAGAGCAAAGAGTGCCCACCGCCCAACAGTCCACATCTAGAAGGCAAGCTCAAAGGCAGTAGTGGTTTCAAGAGTCGAGAGCCAGGTCACACTCACACTGCCTAAACCTTGGACCAAATCACTCTTCAAGAGTCGAGAGCCTGGGTAAGTTGAGATCATGCATTACTAGATCCATGGCACACTCACGCCAGGACCATTCCCTACCTTTTCTTGCAATTCACAAAAATGGCAAGATTTCTTGCAAAATGCACAAAATCCGCACCTTCTCTCGCACTTGGGATCGCAATGGTGAGCAGCCTGCTGAGCGGCAGGGGTCGAGAGTTTGCAGTCACCTCGGCCAAGTGGCTGCAAATGCCTTTTGTATTTTTTTCCATTTTTTTGGAGGAAAAAAGAGAGAATTGTTTTGTTAAAACAGGCTGGAGGTAACAGGCGACGGACAGGAAAGAAGGCAGGTGGGGACATGGGGGCTAACCTCCTCCCCCCCTCCTCCCCCTCCCCCCTCCCCCAAGAAGACATCAGAGCCAATTTGCCGTGTGACTGCACTGTGACCAGAACACACGATTGGCAGAAGAATGCAACAATGTCTCATTCAAAGTGCCATGCCAGTGTGACTTGGCGTTTGTTTTCTTGCAGACCGCGAAGGACGCAAATTTTGTGGAGGAAAGTTCCTAGTGTACACACACACACACAGAGAGAGAGAGAGAGAGAGAGAGAGAGAGAGAGAGAGAGAGAGAGAGAGAGAGAGAGAGAGAGAGAGAGAGAGAGAGNGAGAGAGAGAGAGAGAGAGAGAGAGAGAGAGAGAGAGAGAGAGAGAGAGAGAGACGTGGCCCTTTTTTGCATGCGTCTATTCACAAATGTAAGCGGGTAGAGAGCTTGCAGCAACCCAGAAAGCTCTGGCAAATGCATAGGCGCAAGCCTGAAGCATTTCCCATGCCCTTCATACATACGCTACAGAATATTAGTCCTGGATCCGTGGGGTCCGTGGAGAAACCAGGAACCTGTCCTTCAAATTTTGAAGGCACCGGTACTGCTAAGGACCAGCCATCGTAAAACTTCCACCCCTGCTATATACCCCTTTTCAGGTGGTCGCCCGCTGCGAAACTTAGTGCCATCTTGAGACAAATGCAGAACACACTATACCGCAGCCTTAGGATTGTGAACGCGGATGCATGAACCAACCATAGTGCATCCTTAGGGCTGCGAATTCTAAGCCTGGCCCATTGAGCCAAAACAATGGGGGCCTACTGGTAGCAGTGGGGAGAAAAAGATGCATTATTTCGCCGCCATCATTTTATGTACCCCGAAGGCCTGAAGAAATTTTGGCTTCAGTTTTTCAATTTTTACCCTGAAAGATCATTTCTCAATCAATGTTCCTGATTTTTTCACATTTTTTCAACGACTATTCTAATTATGAAAAATCACCATGTGCACTCTACATATCCAACAAGCCGACAACTGCCTGTGGCCATGGATATTAGCCACCCTCCGAGCTTCAAGATCGGGTTCATTTTTGCACAATTCCAGCCTTCCAAGCATACTTGCAACCGCACCGTGCGCCGTACCGTCCGGTGCGCTGCACAGCATGTGGCGCGGCACCGGCTCGTGCACCATACCAACGGCAGTTTACCTTTTTTTGTTTTTTTTTTGCTGTTTTTGTAGATACAGAAGAGTGCAACACCTAAGAAACTGATCTTTTTCACGTACAGTCGTGCAGATTTTTCTTTCTGTCCAATTGGGCATAAGAAATAGCCTCAAAAAGGTGTCTGGGACATCGGTCTTGACCTTTCGGCAGCGGCATTACCCTCCTGCTAGTTTTTTTTTTTTTTTTCCATCCCACAAAAAATCTTTAAACTTTAATAAAGGGGATGCAAGTGACATTTGACTCATCCATGCGACCCCTTTTCTTTTCGAGTGAATATTCCCCCCGCGCGCCACACCGTGCAGGTCCACTCGTGTGCCAAACGTGCAGAATTTTCCGTACGGTGTCCACTCGCATGTATGTTTACAGGACTTTGGGTCCCTTTCCAGTCACAAGGTAGGACCAGACCAATCCAAAGGTACCAGTAGGGCAACCAAATAGCTGTCAGTCCTCTGTGAAAATGCGAAGGACCAGTCTCTGCAAAACTCCAACCTCCCATATGCCCCTTTTTCAAGCGGTAGCCCGTCGCAAAACTTCGTCCACCTTGATGTCCTGTGATTGCCAGCCTTTCTCAGATCCTTTTGGACTATTTTGGCCTTCTTTCCCCCCCCCTTTCTCACATGTCTGAATTTTGGCGCTTTTCTTATGCCTGTGGTTTCGACGGCTCTACGAGTCACACAATGTTCTCTTGGGCAGTGGGTTTCCCACCCACTACCTGCCCCAATTTCCTCGCGAATTTTCAGTACTTCTCCGTTTATTGCTGCCAGGATTCAAAATGTTGCTACCCAGGATATGTCAGTAGAACCCCTGGCTAGTGTAGGCCCTCCCAAACCGGCAGATCAACAATTTTGCAACAGGCAGACCCTGTGGGCCTAGACCAGAAAAGCAGCTCGTCAAAGTGGCGAGCTGGATGGGAGAACCAACATTTTTTTAAGCTGACAAGTTTGCTTGAGTGCAGTGAAAAAGTAACATTATTTGGAGCGATAACCTAGGCTACAAGAGTGGCCCAGGAAAACTTGCCCAGCCGGGCCACAAAAAACAAAAAAAAAAAAAAAATCTACGCTACCAGTCGGGCCGCCCGGGTCACCTTGAAGTTAGTGTGTTAACTTTTGTCTACTACTACACTCTGTTAGCCTTGTAAAATATATTATTATTATTATTTTATTTTTTTTTGGTAAAGAATTTCGATGTGACCCTGAGGCAAAAGTTGTTCAGTAACTTCGGTTTATTTTTCTGCATAACTGCCCCATAGTTTATTTGGGAATTTTTTTTTTGCCCCCCTGGCACGTTCCCTGGTCCATGCACAGTCGGACCGCCCGGGAAAACAAGGTGACCCAGGTGGCCCGGCTGGTAGCCCAGGCGCAACTAGCAGGGAGATTGGGCACAGCCATTGCCTGACAGCTCTGGCAGCCTACGACATCATTCTCAATTCCATTTTATGCCGTCTAATCAAGGCAGCTGAGTGCTGCTGTGAACTTACAAATTTCTCTGTTATATGAAGTACACTACTGTGTAGTTCTATTCGGATTTCTCTTTTTTAAAGTTTTTTTTTTTCTTTCCAGTAAAGCTTCTAATCAAGTGTTAATCGTGTACAGTGAGTTGGAATTACATGAAGTCTCGCTGGAACGCGACGATGTAGAGTCGTCCTAGACCTTAAGTCTTTTTTTTTCGTTTCTTTTGCGCTCTTCATTCCCTACATGTCTGTCCCAAGCAAGCCATTTGATTTTCCTTCAACCTTCACTTGGGAATGTGGTGTGACGACTATGCAACCCACTCTTCCCCAACCGTATGAAGAGGCGAGCTCTAAAGGTTTAAAAAGGGACCTCCCATGGTGACTAAAGGCTGCTTATGGAAAGGTGAGCAAAGGGGGCAAAAATGCTATTTTTGTCTATATTGTGATGCTACACAACTCGCTCCTCCCCCAAAAGGCGCAAAGAGCAAAAAGGTGCACGCTGTGG